TCGGGGTTCCCCAAAAGAAGTGCCCGCGCCGGGCCGCCTCGAGGGCGCACCCTGCTCCTGCCCTAGCCTGGTGCCCGCCGTCGGTACCCTTCTCGCCCTCGGCTTGCAGAACCAGTCGGCGCCGTGGACTTCTCTGGTCCCTCATCCTCACGACCGCCAGCCCTGGACTGACAAACACCCAGATACGTTGACCTGCGGCCTCTGCCTGCAGACCTTCCTGCTGGAGGCCATCGCGGCTTTCATGGACCACAAGCAGCAGGGCTGTCAGCCCTCTCGAGGCCCCAGCCCTTGCCGGGAATCAGAACTTGAGAACCCGAAGGCCTTGACTTGCCTCCGCTGTGGCCGACAGTTCACCAAGGCCTGGGAACTGCTGCGCCATGCCCAGTGGGACCACGGACTGTCCATCTACCGGACGGAATCCGAGGCCCCAGAGACTCCGCTGCTGGTCCTGGCCGAGGTGGCTGCAGCCATGTCAGCAGCGGTGGGGCAGGAAGTGGAGGCCAAGGGCTCCCGGGCGAACAGCCTCCCCCGGCGGAGCCCCACCTGCCCCGTGCGCGAAGACCCTCAGCACCTTCAGCAACCTCAAGGTGCCCGTGCGCTCGCACACGGGCTAGCGGTCCTACGCCTGTGACCAGGGTCCTTTCGCCTGTGCCCAGAGCAGCAAGCTCAACCGCCACCAGAGGATCCACCAGCGGCTGCAGCCTCAGAGCCCCTCCTGCCCCAGCCGGGACTCTCCTGTGCAGCCGGGAAGGGGCTGGAGCTGCTGACGGCACGCAGGAACCTGGGGCTCCGGGTGGGGGAGGCTCAGGCTGGTCCTGGTGGGGACGGTGGCGGTGTTGCCATCAAGGAAGAGAGAATCCACTCTGCCCGGGTCCCAGAGAAGTTGCCTAAGGAGACTCCTGCGGGAGCCGGTCCATCCTTGCTGCGTGGCACAGTCGCTGCAGGGAAGAAACATCCGCACAGCCTATGTTTCAAGCGACCTGGCGTCGATGGCATCCTGTTCTTCGTATGTTTGCTCCCCTTCTTGGCGCTACGTGTTTTAACCAAGGTCACCTCTCCGAGAAAGGTTGTTTCCCCAGGTGGGGATTGTTCCCTGAAGTTAGGGAGGGGATAAAACCCCTTAACTAAGAGCCAGGCGGGTAGTTAATCACTTTAACTACCAACAATCACGCTTAAGCTACATAATCTTTACTCCCTGGAATGGAGATAAGAAACGCCCTAACCTTTGGAATAGAAATTGATAGGATTAAAAGCAACTGGTATAGCCCTGGCTGGTTTGGCTCAGTGGATAGAGGGTCGGCCTGCGGACTGAAGGGTCCCAGGTTCGATTCTGGCCAAGGGCATGTACCTTGGTTGCGGGCACATCCCCAGTGGAAGGTGTGCAGGAGGCAGCTGATGGATGTTCCTCTCTCATCGATGTTTCTAGCTCTCTATCCCTCTCCCTTCCTCTCTGTAAAAAATCAATAACATGTATTTTAAAAAAAAAAGCAACTGGTATAAATACAGATGTAACAAGACAATAAACAGAACCTGGCTGGAGATCGTGGCTAACCTACTGTTCAACGGAACGCTGTCTCCGTGTCATTCCTTCTTCACCGACTCCGTCCACACCTTTGGGAACCCCTGGACCTGCTGGGGCTGGA